CCTCACCGCCCACAAATTTCAGGCGCACCTACAGGAAAAGATCCAAAATTTGTTGCCTTGTGGGGTCCCATTTTTCTTTTACGGTCTGGGCGGAACGGGCCCTACAAAACCGTTCTTTTTCGTTTCTTTCCAAAAAGAATAGAGGTGGGATCTGCCCCTAATTCTTTAAGCCCAACCAATTCAATTACCTGTCAAATCTGGATAGGATGGCCTTTCAGGCCTTTTTTTATTATCATTATAGTATAACGGGGAACCCCGTAGCAGCCACATCCGTGCTCAAGCCTCCAAGGAGGGAACATGCGGGAGCTGCACCCACCAGCAGGTGTGATACCTGCTACAGCGGGTGGGCGATACCGGCCAGGGGTCAGTCGGTAGCATCAGGACCGAGCTTCTTCGATGGGCCAGTCACTGTGCCTCCCCTGCGGTCCGCTCCCCCTATGAACATCAGCAGTCTCTGCTCAATGCCACTCGGGGGGACCAACGACATATCTCTAGGTGGCGGGCGCCAAGCTTGGCCAGGAAGGTACATGAGGCCAACGGGGATTGAACCCAAGACCTCCTGAATGCCACTTGCGTGCCTTACCAACTGAGCTAGGCCGCTCCCTTTGGACTTTCGCTACGGGCAGAAAAGATTGTTGGAATTTTTTTCCCTCCTTTTTTTTTTTCACAAAAATAGGTAATTGTCATTATCAGAACAATAGTCCAAGAGAGGCCGGGAATCCTCTACAAATAACCCGGAGACTCATGACACAATAGGGACTGGGGACCTTTACCCCGCTGAAATATTTGGCATTAGAACGGCTCCAGCTGCAGAAATGGCCAACTCCAGACCGTTGCACTGAGCTTCTAACCCAATGAAAAAAAAAAGGGAAAACAAAAAAACAACACCTTTAAGGCAAGAAACAGTCGAACAATCCAAAAAGATAAATTACCAGGGAGATACCCTGCCTACTATCCTATTAAAAACAAGTTTTCAAAACCAAAAGAATCGACTCTAGTTAAGCTGGGAGCAAAAACTCAACAATCTACCACCTCAAGAATGAACAACAGAGTCATGTAACCTATCTATTATCTATATCTACCTTGTTCCAACTGCATTACTAGTCTACGTTATAAGTGGTCTAAAAGGCGACCACAAGGAAACCCCAGGATCCTGGCAACGGACATATCAAGCTCCCACCTCGGTCACTCCCCCCGCCTGTCTACCCGCGACCGAACCGTAACCGAGCGAAACAGGTTAGTTGTTGTACCACAACTGTTACGTTTCTTCCTTAAACAACCAATCCTTAAGGGATGGTCTTTCGGAACTCTCAATCGATGCAATCGAGTTTTGGAGGCACCACGTTTCACGGAACCATCCCCAACCACTCGAATCTGTAGCAGAGGTAGTCACTTTCCTCCGCCAGTCTGCCAATATTGCAATCCTGAGATTTCTAAAAAAGGTGGCTCTTGCCTGTTTGTTGGACCAGTCCTTCTTCTCAAATACTTTATCATTTCGTTTCTGCCAGATAACCGAGATGCCCACTGTCCGTATGGTCTGGGCTACATAGCCCCAACCCTTGTCAATAGGAAAACCATCTGGAATCCCTCCCAATAGAACCCACAATTTCGACCAAGGGAAAGCTGGGCCCGAGATTCTGTCCCATATAAAAGTAATCCATTTCCACAGCCTCACAGACCTTGGGCAATCCCACCAAAGGTGAATGGTGGATTCGAAAGCCCAGTCACATCTCACACATGTTAAATCAATGTTAAGCCCATGTTCGGCGAGCCAAACCGCCGACGGAGTTGCCACAAGGGACAACAGCCACAAAGTGGCAGCCTGTCGTTGGCAGGCAATAAGTTTCGACTGTTCCCAACATTTTTCCAATGCTTTTCCCACTTCTTCCCCCTCAATAACTAGCAATCTGGCCCAACGAGATCTGGCTATCACTTCTGGGCACTTCCTTGGAACAACTAGGTGATAGCCAAGTCTTTCATGATAATCAATTAGGCTCAGGTTTTCCCCTTGCTTTCCTTTAGCCCTTTATGCCCACTAATTTGGATCTATACGCATCTGCGAAACTGGCTTACCGTTGTCAAATATAACAATTGAGGTTCTTCCGACTGTGTCAGAGTTTGTTTGTTTTTTTTCTTTTTTTTTTATAAAGGTAAGCTATATTTTGCCCTCATCTATCTCATTTTTCTTGATAGTACGCATCTATCTCATCCTCTCACTATTCTATATATAGTATGGGGGAACACCAACCAACCCGGATCCCTCCCCAACCCACAGGGCAGGTTGGCACCACAGCTGTGGTGCGAGGCCAAGACTGTACCAGTCCCTCATCACAGTGACGAGGGGTGGGCAGGCATTGCCGATGGGGGAAATCGGCGGTGCTAGTGCCGAGCAATGGCCAGTCACTGCACCTCCCCCTACCCCCCCCCAACCCAATACTCTTACCTGTGTGAGTTCCATTCTAATCGGAGGCGGAATATTTTCTTCCTCTGGACCCAAAGTATCCTTGCTCAACCAGCTCTGAAAAATTATTTTACCGTCTGTCTGTGTTTGTATTAGCTTCCAGATCCGGTCTTCTGTTGACGATTTGCTTGCAAACCATGTCCTAGCGGGATCAACTCCCTCCGGACCAATCAAAGAAACCCAGTTAGGTGGAATCGCGCTGATGATCAGGTTCCTGCGAGCCTCAACATACCATAGTCTCCCCAATTTCTCCCTCAGCCTATCCTCAGATATCCAGCATCATGTCCATTCATCCCAAATATCTTTAATTCTTAATACTCCTCTCTCAATCCATGAACGACCAAAGCTTGATGGGGCAGAATCGTCCTTGAACCAGTCCCCATCCTAGGATCGAATGTACAAATTTTCAAAGATCGGATGCGCTAGGACTTCTGCTTTAGTCTCTGGTTCCACCCAAACATCAGGCTGCAGTTTCCTCCACGCCTGAATAATGGCATACCAAAACGGGGACTTTATCATTCTACGTAGGAAGGAGTATAGGAACAGACAGGTCCACACATCTTCTTTCCTAGAGAGGAGTCGTTCCTTGGCCAGGATGCTTTCGGCCAGATATACCCAGTGTGGTACCGGGGATTCCAAGCAGGCATGTACAACCCATCTCACCAATGTTGCCTCATTTTGTTTCTTAGGGTCAAGGATGCCCAGTCCACCCTGCTCTCTTGGGAGGCAAAGCATTTCCCAAGCTACTTTTGATAAGAAAGAGGCCTCGTCGTCAGCGTAGGGTTTCCAAATAAACCTTGCTGCTCTTCATTTGATCAAAGCATATAAATGAGGGCCAAAGGCCCTCACCGTTCCTACGAACCAAAGCAAGGCAAAGAGGGCCCCATTCAATACCATAGCCCTACCGAAAAGTGAGAGGTGGGGGGCTTTCCCCCACGTCACCAATCTGTGCATGCACTTCTGCAATAAAATATCATCTTGTGCCTCAGAACACTCTCCCAAGGAAATCTGCACTCCTAGGAAGCGTTCGGAGCCTTGCTCAGAGATACGCTTCATTCCCCACTGTACTACAAGATCGTACCCCTCTGGAAGAAAAAAAAACGATTTATGCCAGTTAATGGCCGCTTCTGACAGATTGGCATACTCATCTAGACAAGATTTGAGAGCTAGGAGCGAGGCTGGAGTGTTCTCTGATGCTGCGAACAAGTCATCGGCCAAGGCTTTAACCTTGTATGACGTAGGACCTGTGGGCATACCATGAATTTGAGGGTGAGCTCGAATATTGTTCAAAACCACCTCAAACTGGAGTGCAAACAGCAAGGGGGCCAGCGGACAGCCCTGTCGCAGGGACCGAGTCAACGTAAATTCTTTGGAAAGCCTCCCGTTCACCATGACACAAGCTGTGGAGAGGGAATAGAGAGCTATGACCCAACGAATGAAGTTCTTCCCAAACCCCAGCCATTTCAGAGTAGTAACTACATATGACCAATTAACCCGGTCATATGTTTTTTCCAAGTCCAGCAAGAGTACGGCAATATCGCTATGCTCATTATGGATCAGCTCAAGGGTCTCAACTGTTGTTACAATATTATCAAATAGCAGCCTGGCCAGGGACTACCAAATTTGGAAGGTAGCAGCCTAATCGTCTTGCCAGAACTTTGGCCAAGAGTTTGTAAGACACATTAAACCACCAGTACTTGGGCGACGCCTTAGCGTTAACGCTACGCGATTTCCGCGGCCGGCGGGCCGTCGAATCGACAGCCCGGCGCGGCGCGCAGTGCCCAAGTACTGGTGGTTTAAGGACAGAAATGGGATGCCGATTACGAATCTCCGAGAGACTGCCCCAGGGAAATGATGCCTCTTCTCATGTTGACTGATAACTGGTCTCCCTCTAATATATTGAGCGCAATCAGATGGGAGCCGATCTCGTCCCAGATGCACAAGAACAGTTCCGTTGGTAAGCCATCGCATCCTGGGGCTTTACCTTTAGCCATGGCTTTTAGTGCTTCATGTGCTTCGATCTCCGTAATCGGTCGGTCGAGTTCTAACTTAGCTGAAGTAGGCAGTCTGATCACTGTGTTGTCCCAATGGGAGTGGCGGTGTTAGATAGAATGACCAAAGAGTCGTTTCAGAAATTGCTTCCTTCACGAACCTCTCCGTCAATTCAGGAATTATGCCATCCGTTCGATGTTGATGCCCCCAAAGCAAAGGATCTGATTAAGCTGTGCGAATACGCCTGTTTATATTATTGTGATATCCTTTTCCCTCCTTTCCGCGTCACACAGTGCAGGTTTTTTTTTTTTTTTTTTTGGTTCCCCCGCCGCAGTCTGCTGCAGTGCAATACAGAGGGGTCGAGCAGGCAAGCCTACCCATACATATGACCCCTCCGTTGCCCAGAAAAAAAGCACTTTAATATCTTTGTGACCCGATGGACCACGGATCAGATATCAAACTGATCAGAACGGATACTACACTTGATCTTAGCCAAAAGGCCGAGAAAGGTATTACTTCGTAGTTTTCTACAACTAATCGGGTGCATGTGGGCCCAGACTCCGGGGGAGGCGCTGGGGAGAAGTGTGGCGCAGTGTGGCCGAGACCCCGGGGGATGCGCAGGGGAGAAGTGTGGCGCAGTGTGGCCCAGAACCCGGGGGAGGCGCAGGGGAGAAGTGTGGCGCAGTGTTAGCAGTCGCAGTCCAGCTGGGAGGTCGCTGGTGTGTGAAGAGGTGAGGGTGGTGGGCGAAGGTCAGGCGTCAATGCGAGCGGTGGGGGCGAAGGCACAAGCGGCGACTACGTGCACGTTACATTCCGTGCATGTCTGACCGGACATCAGTCGGGACGACTTCCATTTGTTTGGTCCATAGTGTGGGCATGCAGGCGAGCAACGACCACGATCTGCACATCCACGAGGCCAGGGTGGAACCAGGTATGTATTTGTCCTTTTTTTCCTCGTTCTCTCTCTCTCTCTCTCTCTCTCTCTCTCTCTCTCTCTCTCTCTCTCTCTCTCTCTTTTTCTTCTGTGTCTCGATTCTTCTTATCTCGACTCTTGCCTGCCTCCACTCTATAGCGCTGATGAAGGCGACCAGCATCGGAAGGGTGCATGAGCACCACTGGTGGAAGCATGCGAGAACAGCAGAGCTGGAAAAAAAAAGAAGTAAAAAAAGCGTGAGTAGCGGACGACGATCGACGGAGAGGACGAACAGCGGGGGAGATCGATGAGAGAGGATCGACGGAGGAGGAGCGATGACGGGAAGGATGCACGAATGGCAGAGGAGGAGGAACAGAAACTGGGAGAGACGACGGAGGGAGGACGAATGACGATGAGGAGGGCAGCGGAGGGACGAACCAGGGAGGAGGAACGAAGGAGAAGAGAGAGAAGGAAGGAGCAGGGCGGGTGGGTGAGGTAGAATCACGAACCGATGGAGGTGCAAGAATCTCTCTTTGTCTCTCTCTCTCTCTCTCGGTCACTTTCTCTCTCGGTCTCTGCCTGTGTTTCTCATGATTTGCGCCGAGATCAGTCTGGACCGCGATGAGGACGAGAGGTGCTGCTATCGGGGTCTTGACTCTCTCTCTCTCTCTCTCTCTCTTTCAAGCTTTTAAAAGTTCTTTGAGTTTTTACCAGGATTACTGCTCGCTGCCACGTCAGTGTGCTTGCAACATGCATGCTGACGTGGCAGTCGAGGGAGGAGGGACGACGAGGAAAGAGGAGGGACGAGGATGACAAAGGGCGGGCGAGAAGGAGGGAGGCACGACAAACGACTACGATATCCCACCCAGTGCCGTGTCAGCAACAGGCGGAAAAAAAAAAGGCACACAGCAAGCTGACTCGGACGTGGCACTAACTGAGATTATTGCCCGATGCCACATCAGCATGCCCAAAAGAAACAGGCCGCGTGGCAATCAGCGGGATGAGGAGGGACGGGGGGCGAGGAGGACACAGGAGGGACTAGGAGTGCGGAGGGGGATGAAAGAGAACAGGATGATGACGA